TGCTAACTACTAACTATCTAATATATCTAAATCTAACTCTAACTCTAACTTGTTAACCAACTATTATATCACTAATAAATAAAAAACCCCAGCTGGTATCAATATAATTCTGGCTCACACTAACCCTAAATCTTGGCTGGAAAAATATCATTAATACATACTAATTACAACCTGCTAACTACTCAAACTTATTAACCACCACTAAAAAATACTTTCTATGTAACTCTAACTCTAAACTCTAATCCACTAATCACTAACTAATATTTTTTAACCCTAAAACCAACCACTAACCAACTAATACTTTCTAAATTTAACACTAATTCTAACTTGCTAACAAAGCACTAAACTGGCTATTTAATAACTTGCTAATTATAACATGCTAACTACAAATATTGTTTTAAATAGCTAATACTAATTTAGTATCAATTCTAACTTATCTACTATTCTATTTCTAAATATCTGATTGTTATTAATAACTTAAATTTAAACCGATGGTTACTAGCTTGCTAATTCTAATACTAAATACATATTATTAGTTTTAATAGTTAATAAGAAGCTAACTATTACTTTATTAATTTATAACTTCTAACTACTAACCTATTAATCTAACTTCAACCACTCTAAACCGCTAAATCTAATTCAAACCAATAATGTCAATTTTAATCTACTAATCTCACGATTTCTAACTTAATATCTACTAGTAATCAAACACTGACCCGATTATGATCTTTACTTGACTAGTAAGTATTATACTAAGCAAAAATTTGCTCTTATATGTTTGAGTAAAATACAACATTTAGTAATACTCATTGATGTTATTAAATTAAAATTTCCTAACATAGGCTTTCATCCAACCCTAATAAATTTTTAAGTTTTGATCTGATGCAAGTTTTAATTTGGCATACAACATCGAATATACAGTATACTGAATATAAATAACCACGTATAAGACCTGTATATTATATAGCTAGAATTTAAAATATATGCGTACTTTGCATTTATAAAAAACAATCTGAATTGCTAAAAAAAAAAGACACACTTAGTAAAGAACCTAATAATAAAAGATATAATCTTATATAGTAGTCATATGCGATAAAATAAGATAATAATAATATATTAGAGGTTCACACAAATATATATTATGCAGTTAAACAATTAAGCAGTAAATATTTCAATTGCACATATATACTATTTCGATAACACATAAATTAAACTTTATCTAATCACTTAAAAGAATATAGAACTTGATTTTTTTGATGCCATTTTTCACAACCAGCTTTATTATGCTCAAATTGATGATATTTTTGACATTCTGTTGGTTTTCGCTTTATAGTTTTTAATCACTTTATATTTTTTTGCTTAGTTTCCTGTGATCTTTTTAATCGTATTTTGCGTGGAGCGCCTTTTTTGGCCCGAATAATAGGATTTTAAATTAGAGATAGATCTATATTTTTGATGCTTTCATTATTATCTTGGAGGTACAATTCACCATTATCATTATAATTTGAGTCAGAATCAGAATCACAAGAAATATCTGAAAAATTTTCTACATTTTGAGATTTAGCTAACAATATTCTTTTGGAGTTTTTGCAAGTTGCTTCTTGATTATGTTTCAGTGTATGTTTTGCTATAAAACTTTTCATAAGTGTGTTTAATTCTTGTATTGCTGAAAGTCTCACATCCATCCCATTTGGATCGCCTTTTTAGAAAGCCCGTTAGCTATTACGTACTCTTTTTGTTGATTTAAAGATTTATGAACACATTTATAAGAAATATTAGCGACCTTATAAGGCATTATCATGAAGGTTTCAGAATTTACAGTAGGTTCAGAAGACTCTTGGAAGCTATTGGTAAAAGGTTGTTTATGAAGAACTGATATATCTTCAAGTTGTTTATCATTTTTGTACCATCATTTGGGTATAAATATTACATGAAATTTTGCATAATTTGAGATACCTAATAAGCAAAAAAAATGTCAGCATACAATACCACATTGAACCAGACCAAGACAAATACAAAGGTAAGAATAATCATTAAAAAGAACTACATAGTTTTTTTTAGTACATCTATGACAAACTAGTTTCCAAATCTCAGAAATATCATCATAGCAATTAGTCAGAACGAGTTCTTTTAAAAGTATTAGTGGAACATCAACTGTATTCTCTGAAAAACCAGTATCAAATAACTCGACTTCATTTTCAATTTCAAAAGCACAGTTCTTATCCACTAACTGAGAATTGTACCTGTTATATATCAAATTCATGTTAGTTTAGAATTAGCAGTACTATAAGCATAGGATTGATTTTCTATTCATGTAGTTTCCAAGATCAACTAGCTAATTAAAAATTAGGATCATATGTAATATAAAAAATTTCAAACCATTCGCTTTGCAAAAATCGTGTTGATTTCAAAAATTATACTAGTAAACCACCCTTTGGGTTCTAACAAATAAAATTTTCATTCAATTTTACTATAAGACTACTTTTCTTAACTTTAATATATATCTAAACCCTAACATATGTCTGAATGTTAATATAAGTAAATCTTTTTGTTCGAAGACTATTGATCTTAACAGCCACGTGAATGAAAATCAATCTTGTGCTTGTCAATTTCATACTCAAATTAATTTCACAGTAAGTAACATACTATACGGCTTGTGTGATTTCTTGTCGCTACATTGAAAGGGCGGCAGGTGTCAAATAATCAGTGATCCATTTATCAATTGTGGGTGAAAAATCTTGACTTGAATGTATAAAAGTTGAGCCAGTTACAGTATGTCTCCAATTTCAATATTGTATAATAATAGATACATGATTAAATTGTTCATCAAGTTTTTTAAAAAGTTCTAAAACTGATATATGACTATTAACCATGTTTTTAATTATTGCATTCTGCCTTTCTGTCCTTTGCATAGTTTGCATACCCACTGTAAAAATGTGTGAAGTATAACAAAGCGCCCACTTTTGCTTTTGAGATCCAAGTACCTTATTTAGATACATTTCTGAACTAGTGTATTTTTTAAGAAGAGAGTCCTACAGGGAATCACATTCAGATTATGACAAAGTGTTTCTCATTTGATACCACCCTTTAGTAAAATCATTATATTGTAATCCCAGTTTGGACTTTAAATTCTTTAATAGATTCTGGCCAATGTGATACATACAATAAATATAATATGTATCTGGCATTATTTTGAAAATCGTGGCATCTATAGCGAGATTGTTATCCGTTATTATTACTGATAGAAAAATATTTGTTAATTGAACAAAAGAACGAAAAACCCATTCAAAACTTTCAGATGTTTTGTCGCTTATTAATATTTGTTCTACTAAACAGGACTGATTATTATTGTCTACAATTACAAAAAGTCCAAGTGCTATTTTGAACTGATTAGTTGAATAAGTATTATCATATTAAATTATATTACTATATTGAAGATACAATACCACATTGAACCAGACCAAGACAAATACAAAGGTAAGAATAATCATTAAAAAGAACTACATAGTTTTTTTTAGTACATCTATGACAAACTAGTTTCCAAATCTCAGAAATATCATCATAGCAATTAGTCAGAACGAGTTCTTTTAAAAGTATTAGTGGAACATCAACTGTATTCTCTGAAAAACCAGTATCAAATAACTCGACTTCATTTTCAATTTCAAAAGCACAGTTCTTATCCACTAACTGAGAATTGTACCTGTTATATATCAAATTCATGTTAGTTTAGAATTAGCAGTACTATAAGCATAGGATTGATTTTCTATTCATGTAGTTTCCAAGATCAACTAGCTAATTAAAAATTAGGATCATATGTAATATAAAAAATTTCAAACCATTCGCTTTGCAAAAATCGTGTTGATTTCAAAAATTATACTAGTAAACCACCCTTTGGGTTCTAACAAATAAAATTTTCATTCAATTTTACTATAAGACTACTTTTCTTAACTTTAATATATATCTAAACCCTAACATATGTCTGAATGTTAATATAAGTAAATCTTTTTGTTCGAAGACTATTGATCTTAACAGCCACGTGAATGAAAATCAATCTTGTGCTTGTCAATTTCATACTCAAATTAATTTCACAGTAAGTAACATACTATACGGCTTGTGTGATTTCTTGTCGCTACATTGAAAGGGCGGCAGGTGTCAAATAATCAGTGATCCATTTATCAATTGTGGGTGAAAAATCTTGACTTGAATGTATAAAAGTTGAGCCAGTTACAGTATGTCTCCAATTTCAATATTGTATAATAATAGATACATGATTAAATTGTTCATCAAGTTTTTTAAAAAGTTCTAAAACTGATATATGACTATTAACCATGTTTTTAATTATTGCATTCTGCCTTTCTGTCCTTTGCATAGTTTGCATACCCACTGTAAAAATGTGTGAAGTATAACAAAGCGCCCACTTTTGCTTTTGAGATCCAAGTACCTTATTTAGATACATTTCTGAACTAGTGTATTTTTTAAGAAGAGAGTCCTACAGGGAATCACATTCAGATTATGACAAAGTGTTTCTCATTTGATACCACCCTTTAGTAAAATCATTATATTGTAATCCCAGTTTGGACTTTAAATTCTTTAATAGATTCTGGCCAATGTGATACATACAATAAATATAATATGTATCTGGCATTATTTTGAAAATCGTGGCATCTATAGCGAGATTGTTATCCGTTATTATTACTGATAGAAAAATATTTGTTAATTGAACAAAAGAACGAAAAACCCATTCAAAACTTTCAGATGTTTTGTCGCTTATTAATATTTGTTCTACTAAACAGGACTGATTATTATTGTCTACAATTACAAAAAGTCCAAGTGCTATTTTGAACTGATTAGTTGAATAAGTATTATCATATTAAATTATATTACTATATTGAAGATACAATTCATATTGATCTGGTGTAATCCAAAACAAAGATATTAAAGAATTATTTGTTGGGTCTACATGCCAATTTATAATCCATCTTGTATCTTTGGCCTTACATTCAAGAAGGTGATTAATTAATGTAGCTGCTTTATCATCAACCTGTTGTTCTCTTTTCACCCTTTGAATCACATTGACAGGTCTTGAAGTAAAAAAAAAACATTTTCATATTTCGCCTCAAGTAATTGTTATTGAGTATACATATTTAAATTGCCCTTAGTGGTCCAGAATTCTATATCGGGCAATATTGGCTCAGTTAACGTTCGATGCATAATGCTAATTTATTGGCAAGAAGATCCAAAGGATGGTTACTGTGTTCTAAGGAGACACTGGTGATATTGATAATACCGGTTGTTTTAGGACATGTTGCATTTACAAACCATGGACAACCACTACGTTTTGTACATCTATTACACTGTTCTTTAGCAATCGCCTTCTTTTTGTTTTGGTATTGACCTTAAAATTCACATCGGTAATAGCAGTGTCTTTTTATTCCATCATCATATTCTGCCTCATAAATAATTTTGGAAAAGTTCTTTGAACTACAATAAGTGTCAATATAATTATCAATTTTAGTCCATGATTCAAAACGCATGCCGGGTGTTGGTGTTTGAATTGACATAAAATAAGATCCAAGTACATTAGTTGAATGACTATGATCTTGTACAAGTGAGTCCCGATCTGGTGAAGATAGGTAGGTTATTGAAAGTAATGATGGGTAGGTTATTAAAGGTGAAGATGGATAAGTTATTAAAGGTAAAGATGGGTAAGTTATTAAAGATGAAGATATGGGTTATTTATTATAAACAAATAGCTCTGGTATATTCAAGGTTAAGCTTTCGTTTGACATTATCAAATATAATATTATGGTAGAAGAAACTGAT